GCACAGTGAATTCTGTTGTTGCTCTAACAATTGACACTCTTAATTATGACATCAATAGTCACCTGAGGCTCTTGTCCTGAGCTGCCAAGCCTATGGAAGCCTCTTGAGTTCACCAACTCCGATCTTATTTAGACAAGATCATAGTCAAAGTGGAAGTTCTCTCCTCCCTTCAGAGAAAGGTACTGCCTTCTTTGATGGCCTCTTCTTTCCGCTGGGATCTTACTCACAGAGATCTTTTATTTAGGTAATTTTTTTTTTGCCACAATGTCTTGGCTTTCCATGCCTGAGAAACTCTCATGGGCTTTTTAGCCAGATCTGAATGCCTTAAGGGCTGATTCTGAGGCCAGAGTGCTGTTTAGGATATCTGCCATTCTATGAGTCTGCTGTGTATCCTGCTTCCCATGTAGGATCATTCTCTCCTTTTTAACTCTATCAATTGTTTGCAGACACTGGTCTTATTTATGTAATCCCTTTGACACTTAATACTATCTTTTTGATCACTTATGAACTTAAACTGATCACTTTAACAAGTAAGATGGCATTGGTACATGCCACCTTGATGGGATTGAATTGGAATCCCCTGGCATGTTTTTAGCTCTACCATTGGGGTAAGTCTGAGTGAGCATGTGCCGAACTGTACATCTTCTTCCTCTCTTATTCCCACTCTTACATTTAACAGGAATCACTTTTCAGTTAAATTTAAATGACTAAAAATAATTGTGTGTTAATTAAAGAGTTCAACCAATGGTATTAAGTAGAACAAAAAAACACTAAAAGGAATAAAATAGTAAGTTGTTCCTCGACAGTCAGGACAAGGGCTGATCAAGTCATTGTTTCTCATAGAGTCTATTTCACTTCAACAGGTTTCCTATTAGGTGCTCAGTTAGTCATCACCGATCAGAGAGAATATATGACATTTGTTCCTTTGGGACTGGCTTATTTCACTCAGCATGATGTTTTCCAGATTCCTCCATTTTGTTGCAAATGACCGGATTTCTTTCTTTCTTTCTTTCTTTTTTTTTTTTTACTGCTGTGTAGTATTCTATAGAGTACATATCCCATACTTTCTCTATCCAGTCTTCTGTTGATGGGCATTTGGGTTGATTCCATGCCTTAGCTATTGTGAACTGAGCTTCAATAAACATTGAGGTGCAGACAGCTCTTTTATTTGCCAATTTAATTTCCTTTGGGTAAATTCCAAGGAGTGGGATGGCTGGGTTGTATGGTAGGGCTATATTCAGGCTTCTGAGGAATCTCCAGACTGACTTCCGTAGTGGCTTTACCAGTTTGCATTCCCACCAACAGTGGGCTAGTGTGCCTTTTTCCCCACATCCTCACCAGCATCTGTTATTGGTTGATTTCTGTGTGTGAGCCATTCTAACCGTGGTGAGGTGAAACCTCATTGTGGTTTTGATTTGTATTTGCCTGATTGCTAGTGATCCTGAACATTTTTTCATGTGTCTGTTGGCCATTTGGATTTCCTCTTTTGAAAAATGTCTATTGAGGTCCTTGGCCCATCTCTTTAGTGGGTTGTTTGTTTTGTTGTTGTGGAGTTTCTCTTTTTTTTCTTTACTTTGACAGGCAGAGTGGACAGTGAGAGAGAGAGACAGAGAGAAAGGTCTTCCTTTGCCGTTGGTTCACCCTCCAATGGCTGCCGCGGCCGGCACGCTGCGGCCGGCGCACCGCGCTGATCCGATGGCAGGAGCCAGGAGCCAGGTGCTTTTCCTGGTCTCCCATGGGGTGCAGGGCCCAAGCACCTGGGCCATCCTCCACTGCACCCCCTGGCCACAGCAGAGGGCTGGCCTGGAAGAGGGGCAACCGGGACAGAATCCGGCGCCCCTACCGGGACTAGAACCCGGTGTGCCGGCGCCGCTAGGCGGAGGATTAGCCTAGTGAGCCGCGGCGCCGGCCCTGTTGTGGAGTTTCTTGATCTCTTTGTAGATTCTGGTTATTAATCCTTTGTAGGTTGCATAATTTGCAAATAGTTTTACCCATTCTGTTGGTTGCCTCTTCACTTTCCTGTTTCTGTTGCAGTACAGAAACTTCTCAATTTGATGCAATCCCAATAGTTAATTTTGGCTTTGACTGCCTGTGCCTCTGGGGTCTTTTCCAAGAAGTCTTTGCCTGTGCCTATATCTTGCAGGGTTTCTCCAATGTTCTCTAATAATTTGATGGTGTCGGGTTATAGATTTAGATCTTTAATCCATGCTGAGTGGATTTTTGTGTAAGGTGTAAGGTAAGGGTCTTGCTTCATGCTTCTGCATGTGGAGATCCAGTTTTCTGAAGAGACTGTCCTTGCTCCAGGAACTGGTTTTAGATCCTTGATCAAATATAAGTTGGTTGTAGATGTTTGGATTGATTTCTGGTGTTTCTATTCTGTTCCATTGGTCTATTTATCTGTTTCTGTACCAGTACCATGCTGTTTTGATTATAACTGCCCTGTAGTATGTCCTGAAATCTGGTATTGTGATGCCTCCAGCTTTGTTTTTGTTGTCCAAGATTGCTTTAGCTATTTGAGGTCTCCTTTGCCTCCATATGAATTTCAGCATCATTGTTTCCAGATCTGAGAAGAAGGTCTGGTATTTTGATTGGTATCACATTGAATTTATAAATTGCTTTTGGGAGAATGGACATTTTGATGATATTGATTCTTCCAATCCATGAGCATGGAAGATTTTTCCATTTTTTGGTATCCTCTTCTATTTCTTTCTTTAAGATTTTGTAATTATCATTGTAGAGATCTTTGACATCTTTGGTTATGTTGATTCCAAGGTATTTGATTGTTTTTGTGGCTATTGTGAATGGGATTGATCTTGGCAGTTCTTTCTCAGCCATGACATTGTCTGTGTATACAAAGGCTGTTGATTTTTGTGCACTGATTTTATATCCTGCTACTTTGCCAAACTCTTCTATGAGTTCCAGTAGTCTCTTAGTAGAGTTCTTTGGATCTCCTAAATAAAGAATCATATTATCTTCAAAGAGGGATAGTTTGACTTCTTCCTTCCCAATTTGTATCCCTTTAATTTCTTTTTCTTGCCTAATGGCTCTGGCTAACACTTCCAGTACTATATTGAATAGCAATGGTGAGAGTAGGCATCCCTCTCTTGTGCCAGATCTCAGTGGAAATGCTTCCAACTTTTCCCCATTCAATAGGATGCTGGCCGTGGGTTTTTCATAAATTGCTTTGATTATATTGAGGAATGTTCCTTCTATACCCAATTTGCTTAGAGTTTTCATCATGAAAGGGTGTTGTATTTTATCGAATGCTATCTCTGCATCTATTGAGATAATCATATGGTTTTTCTTCTGCAGTTTGTAAACATGGTGTATCACATTGATTGATTTACAAATGTTGAACCATCTCTGTATACCAGGGATAAATCCCACTTGGTCTGGGTGGATGATCTTTCTGATGTGCTGTTGCATTCTATTGGCCAGAATTTTATTGAGGATTTTTGCGTCTATGTTCATCAGGGAAATTGCTCTTTAATTCTCTTTCTCTGCTGCATCTTTTTTCAGATTTAGGAATTAAGGTGATGCTGGCTTCATAGAAAAATTTGGGAGGATTCCATCTTTTTCATTTGTTCTTAATAGTTTGAGAAGAATTGGAGTTAGTTCTTCTTTAAATGTCTGGTAGAATTTAGCAGTGAATCCATCCGGTCCTGGGTTTTACTTTGTTGGAGGGCCTTTATTACTGATTCAATTTCTGTCTCAGTTATGGGTCTGCTTAGGTTTTCTATGTCTTCATGGTTCAATTTAGGTAGGTTGCATGTGTCCAGGAATCTATCCATTTCTGATAGATTTCCCTGTTTGCTGGCATACAACTCTTTGTAGTTATTTCTGATGACTCTTTTTATTTCTGTGGTGTCTGTTGTTACATTCCCCTTTTCATCTCTGATTTTATTGATTTGGGTCTTTTCTCTTCTTTTTTTAGTTAGTTGGGTCAATGGTGTGTCTGTGTCAATTTTGTTTATTTTTTCAAAGAACCAGCTCTTCATTTTGCTGATCTTTTGTAATGTTTTTTTTTTTTTTTGGATTCAATTCTGTTGATTTCTAATTTTAATTATTTCTCTTCTCCTACTAGTTTTGGGTCTGGTTTGCTGTGTATGCATGGTTTTCAATTTTGTTTTTGCACCCAACAAATGTATCTTTTTAATTCCACTTTCCACAAACTTTTTGAAGTCACCCTTTGTCTTCAGTGCAAGGGCCCTGCTGCACAGGTGACCTCACAGTTCTCTGGCTTCCCGCAGAGCTCTGTTCCTTGTCCATTGCTCCCTGTTTGCTCAATCAAGCTGCAGCTCTGCCCCGTGCCTTCTCCTCTTGGGGACCACGGCTGTGGGCTGAGGCACTTTCTAGAACATTTCTAGTCACCACAACAGGAGGAGAAAGCAAAGCCAGAGGCCCACATGCCTGCTCCTAAATCCGACACTCAAAAGTGACACGGTGAGTTTTGCTCATGTCCCAGGGGCCAAAGCAAGTCCCACGGACACAGGTGTATAGGCAGACGGGAGCTGTGGCATCTTCCTGTCTGAGGGGTGCTGCACGTTCGGACAATGTTATGAAGGGCCCCCAAAGATTTCATGGAGATCCATATTATGGAAAAACTGTGCATGGAAATCCAAGTGTTTGCTCCAAAATAAATTTGGCTTTTTATTTTAAGAGATTGTGTATTTATTTATGAGAGAGAGAGAGAGAGAGAGAAAGAAATTCCCATCTACTGGCTCACTCTCCAAATGCCTACCACAGCAGGGCTGGGTCAGGCCGAAGCCAGGAGACGGGAACCCAGTGCAGGTCTCCCTGGTGGGTGGCAGGGCCCCAGTACTTGAGTGGGCACCTGCTGCCTCCCAGAGTGTGCATTAGCAGAAAGCCGGCATCAGGCGTGGAGCCAGGACTTGAACCCTGGCTCTGCTGTGGGACGCGGCGCCCCAAGCGGTCTCTTAGCCGCTATGCCAAATGCCTGGCCCTAAACATCTCTTTTCATTCCATTTTCCCACAGATGTTCTGCAGGCCTCGCACACAGTCTTCCTGGCGAGGCTGCTGGCAGTTGCCTGCTGTTTGGAAGTCTGACAAACAAGGTTGTCAGAACAGATCTGAAGGAAGCTGCCATGGTGGGAATTGTATTTTTTTCCCCAAAGATGATTTCGTGCTTGTCGGACCCATCACGCCCCGAAAACGCTTTCGCTGTCCAACGAGTATTGGTAAGTGGGAGCCGTTCCGCCGCTCGGCCCGTGGCGACACCCCCATAGCGCCTGGGCACAGGCCTACTGGCTGGTGTCCTTTTCCCCCAGTTCCTGTCTCTCTGCCCCTGCTTCCCTCCCTGCACCTTAAAAAACAAAACAAAACGAAAACAAAAATCCCAAGCTCCGCTTTGTTTCTTCTCTGATCTCCAAAAGCCAGCTCGCCATGCTTCTCTGAGGTTGCCTGAGTTTCCAAACTCTTCCCCCTAGGGCTGGGCTCCCCCCCCCCCCCCCCCCCCCGGCCCCCGACCCCAGGAGGCTTTTCCTAGCCCCTAAGAGGCTCTCCGCATGGGAGCTGGGTTTCCACCCAAGAGACCACCACGCTTTTTCTCTCCTTATCGTTGGCAAGAATAACATAATCTTTGACTACGTCATCTGGCTGGAAGAGAAATCACTGAACCTTGGAGCTCTAGGGACACTTTGGCTCAAAGAAACACCTGGGGCCCGTTTCCTGCTTTGCCACTTGCTTCTTCCCATTAGGAACCCTGGCGAATTATCACCTGGCTGCTGTGGAAGTGAGGTGAGGACTGGACTCCTCCGAGGGTCAAGGCCCTCTGCCTGCCCCGGGGGCCTGCGGCCAGCAGTGAACAGAGAGCAGTATTCCTGGAAGGAGGCCTGCGGGAGTGTTTCTCTGTCACGGCCCTGGTAGCCCATGCACCATCCCGGCAGGGAGAGTTCATGTACGAAGCAGCCTTTTTCTTGCTTTATGCTGCCTCCTTATCAACTAGGGCAGTTTGTTTTTCCCTGTGACTCACGATTCAGTATTTCGTGCCTGGAAAGGGGCTCCCCTGCTGTTTTGTTCAAGGGACAAAACCTGCAAAGATAGAGCTCAGCGCGCACACCGCGTCTTTGCCTTTCAGCGGGGAAGACAGGCATAATTGTCTTTTCCAATCAGACAATTTCCCAGCCGGTTTGTGTACCTTATTTTGATTTTGCGGAGCTCCATTTCCTACCTTGCTTTGTTTTGGTTTTTCACCCGCGCCTTCGCTGGGTCCTTTGTGAGCTGGTAATTTGCTCTCTGGTCTCTTAGCAACCAGGAACTTTTCCAGTCTGCCGCTGCTGAATCAGACCTTGGAGTTTCCAAGTTTACAGCAGGACCTGCTGAAGGACAGTATCTCTCCCGGAGCCAGCGATTTTAAATTAATGTTTGAACAAGAAAATTAACCAGGGTTTCAGGACAGGGACGCTCATAGAGGCGATGGCGACAAAACCGGTCAACTCTTCTCCTTCTCCCTGTTTCCTCTTGTCTCTTCCCCTCCCCGCAATGCCCACCCTGCCCAGCCCCCACCTGCAGCACAAGGCGTGTTTCCCGTGAGCGGATGGAGCCTGCCCCCCTGGCTTGCTGCTTGGGGCAGCAGCCAGTTACAGGGCCTTTGCCAGTTTCATTCACACACACTTACTATGGGCTAAGCACCCAACACAGTCGCATCCATGTGGAGTTTGCAGTCTAGGGCAGATGCTGTTGTTGATATAAACAAAGGGGTTGCATTCAATAGAGAAGGAGAACTTTGCTGGCAATGGGGGTCAACACTGGTATGAGTTAAATTGAGTTAGCATTGGTTATTCAGGTAGCAGGGGACTACATTGGTTATTTACCAGTGTGAAAACACAAGCTGCTCTAGTTATCTACAGCTATGTGGAAAAAAAATCACACCCCAAAACTTAAGACTTCTAGATTTGACAGCCTCTTTTCATACCACAGTATGGAAAAACAAGTAGTAAAAGAAATCACCAGAGCAAAAGCAGATTCCCTGAACACACTATAGTGAGAAATAAGCCAGTGGCACAGGTCAACACTGACTCACAATACACCCTGTAATCTGAGGGGTACACCTGCATTGGCAGCCCCTTTTCCATCAGGGTGACTATTGGCCATATGCTTATGAGGGAGCGGCAGGCAGGACAGCCAGGGGCTGCCTGTTACAGTATGGGCTACACACCAAGAGCATCTTTGTAATTGCAGTCTCTCCTCAGTTAGGGCGACTTTTCTATGGTCCAGTAGGTTTCCCGGGGGGGGGGGGGTGATTTGCATCTCTGGGCGGAGCCAGAGCTGGGAAGCTTATATGGTCTTTAGCTTAGAGACTCCACTCAATGCTCTGGGGCTGCCCTTCAGGGGGACGACGCAGGTGGCAGGGTGCGCCTTCACCTGTGGGCAGCTGGAGGATCCCCTTCCGACATGGGCGGGACTGATGACTGGGTGGGCTCAGCTGAGACAGCGGTCAAGGCTGGCTGCCCTGGGCCTCTCCAGCACGCAAGGTCTGGGGTTGTTGGCCTGCTTACCCGGGTTCCTTGAGAGCCAGGCAGAAGCTGCCCGGCTTCTCTGCGCTCACCTTGGGAAACACAGAGCATTAGTTGCAAGTGCCGCATTGGTGGAAGGAGTCAAAGAATCCTCCAGATGAAGAATGGGGGCGTGGACCCAGCTCTCAGTAGACGCCTTGAAAGCACCACACAAAGAAGGCAGGTCCCCAGGAGTCGTGGATCCTAGGCTGACTCTGCCCCTTCCTGGCTGTGCGACCTTGGCCGAGCCGCTACTTCTCTCTGGGCCTTGGTCTCTTCATCATTGAAATGAAGAGGTCACCAGGTTAATTCAGAGGTCCTTCTAATGAGGAGCAGTGGTGTGGCGAGTGCTCTGTAATTATCTATTGACTAGGAGTGAGCTGAATCTTAAGTGTGGGAGTGGATCTCCAGTGGAATCGCATGGATCATTGGGCAAATGGGAGTTTTTAGAATTTTACAGCCAAGGAACTTGGGGAACTGTTGCATGGTCCTTGGGTTTAATGGATGAGAAAACCAAGGTATAGTGAGGCCACAGGTCTTGACCTGGGTCCAGGGGGAAGTTAATGATGGCCATTAAAGAATAGAACCTGGGGGGCCGTCGTTGTGGTGTAGCGGGTAAATCAGCCGCCTGCAGTGCTGGCATCCCATATGGGCACCGGTTCAAGTCCCGGCTGCTCCACTTCCGATCCAGCTCTCTGCTATGGCCTGGGAAAGCAGTGGAAGATGGTCCAAGTCCTTGGGCCTCTGCGTCCGCGTGGGAGACCTGGAAGAAGCTCCTGGTTCCTGGCTTTGGATCAGCGCAGCTTTGGATATTGCCATCATTTGGGGAGTGAACCAGCGAAATGGAAGACCTCTCTCTCTCTCTCTCTCTCTCTCTGTCTCTCTTGCTGGTTCTGCCTCTCTCTATAATTCTTTCAAAGTAAAATAAATCTTAAAAAAGAAGAAAGAATAGAGCCCGGCACCCTGAACCGACCACCCTGTGTGCTTTGCCCTCACAATGGCACCTTTGGAAGTGCACTGGGAATTTCATTCCAGCACCCAGGCCGAGAAGGCATCTTTTCCATCCACTGAAGGAGATCTTTCTAGAACTTTTCCATGGCACTCAGCCTGAGGAGCTCTTCACTGGGCTCGAGGGCTGGCCGGCCAGATCTCTGCTTGCTGCCTGGCTCTCCTCTGAGGTCCTTGGCCCAGGACTGGAGCAGAATGACAATGGAGCTGAGAGGCGGGGTGACAAGAGGTGAAGCCACTTCTGATTTGGGTCCTAATTTTTTCCTACCAGTTCTATTCTGAAACGGTTCTTGTGCATGTATAATACAGTGACTGAGCTAAATAATAAATGACAGGAGAGGCCACGGGAGGTGGGAAGGCGAAGGCAAAGGAGACGGAGTTTGACTGGAACTCAAATTGCCAAGGACTTTGAGCTGCGAGAGAGGGATGTGGGGAGGCAGAGTCTTGCCAGTAACAGGAACCAAGAAGAGCTGGAAATGTGTAATGTGGCCCATTAGAGTCCCAGGAAGATAGACAAATGGACAGAGATGGAGAGAGAGAGAGAGGGAGAGGGAGAGGGAGAGGGAGATAGAAGGAGAGGGAGATTGAGGGAGAGGGAGAGGGACATTGAGGGAGAAGGAGAGGGACATTGAGGGAGAGGGAGAGGGACATTGAGAGAGAGAGGAAGAGGGAGAGAGAGAGAAAGAGGGAGAGGGAGATTGAGGGAGAGGGAGAGAGAGATTGAGAGAGAGAGACTGAGGAAGAGGGAGAGGGAGAGGGAGAGAGAGGGCTCATGTTGTGTTGTGGAAACACTACATGTCAGTGGGCATTGGAAAAGTGGGGGAGATCCTGAAGACACATTTAGTGCTGGGGAATAAAGCAAAAATAGACAGTAGGTCATGAAGCATTGACTCCTCATGATAAATGGGCTTTTCCAGCATGGATGAATCATACTCATGGCCTTAAATAGAGTCAACTGGGCCAGGCTGATTTTGTCCACGTTGTATGGACAAGAGGTAAACGTGAGGCTCTGGGGCCGGTGCTGTGGTGCAGCAGGTTAAAGCCCTGGCCTGCAGTGCTGCCATCCCATATGGGCGCCAGTTCAAGTCCTGGTTGCTCCTCTTCCGATCCAGCTCCCTGCAAGTGCACCTGAGAAAGCTGCAGAAGATGGCCCAAGTCCTTGGACCGCTGCACCCACATGGGTGCAGCTCCTGACTCCTGACTTCAGACTGGTTCAGCTCCATCCACTGCAGTCATCTGGGGAGTGAACCAGCAGTTGAAAGACCTCTCTCTCTGACTCTCTCTCTCTCTGTGGCTGTCTTTTAAATAAATAAAGTAAATCTTAAAAAATAAAAATCCATGCGGCCATCAGTCAAGGTGCTAAGCCATCAGTCAGGGGGCAGGGGTGAGGCCTTTTTGGAGAAGCTGACTGCTCTCTCCTTATCCACCCCATTCTCACCCACACAAATCCCGCGCATGCCCTCTCTAACCCATCGTCCGCTGCTCTTGCCACAGTTCATGGTAGACCCGCCCCTACTCTCATTCCTTCTAGTTCATGCCATCCTAGTCCCAACCCGGCCCCACTTTCCCACATAGCCCATTCCGCTCTCCACCCCCCATTTTATCTCCTTCACTGCATTTGTAAAGTCTTTTTATTTGGCTCTTATCTGTACAGCGATCTAAGTCTTTGTGGGACT